ACTAGGAATAGTGACCCGTCTGCCGCCTTAGTAGGACAGTTCTTAACATGGTGTAAAGACAATAGAATGGTCTGCAACCCTTGCAAATGTAAAGAGCTGGTTGTTAGAAAGAAAAATCATAATGTACTCTACTCTCCAATTAATAATATTCCCCAATGTAATAGCTTCGTTTTACTAGGAGTAACTTTACAGAGTGACGGAAAATTTGATGAGCATGTAAGAACTAAGCTTGTCAAAGCAAACAAGTGTTTACACGTCCTACGAACATTGAGAAAGGAACATTACTCTCAGGCAGAGATTGATCATCTTTTTATATCCATTGTTTTGGCTAATTTTAGCTATGCACTTTCAGTCTATGGGGCATCTGAGTCCGATCTTACGGTTGTACAAAATTTTTTAGACCGATGTCATAAACGCGGTTTTATCTCATTTCCAGTTTTTATCAAGAACCTTTTAAACAAACAAGACCGAAACATTTTGAAGAAACTAAAATCAACGGATTGCCACCCCCTGAAAGACATCATTCCTGTCCAAAAGACATATGTACACAATCTTAGGAAAAAGGCTGTGCGCGCCCGAAAATTAATACACAGCGCTTTATGAACACCTTTGTAAATAGGTTGATATTTAAGCTCCATTTATTGTAATGACATACTTTTTAATTCATAATATGTATGTAGATTTCTGTAGTTTTTCCAAATTCATTATAACATAAGATATGTAGTTTTATCTTATTATGGAATAAAGACTTTTATTATTTATTATTTAGTATGTTCTCCCCTGGGGTGAGATGGGTGGGAATTGGCCCTGAAAAGCCCTTATGGGGAGTGGTCAATTAACCTATGTATGTATGTATGTAATAATCTTTAACAACAACCATCTGAAGCTTGATGTGCAAAGAAAATTACCCAAATTTGGTACTCTTCTACATTCGTGCCTTCCTTACACTTCACTCATGTTCCGCTCAAGGCTAAGTGCTCCTGAGTTTCGTCATCACGTGACATACCGCTTTGTCTCTGTTTTCATTTCCTTTCTTGGGCGTATTCCTTATCCAGGTCTGAGCTATTTCTTGCCGCTCCAACATGGATTGTAAAAGGCAAACTCTTACATGTATACAAATGTCTTCGCTTTGTTATCTGTTTAATAATATATTACAGTGTTTATGAAATACTTTTAGTAGTTCTTTCACTGCAGCCTTTTTTTATTAGTCAGTAACGGAAAATAATTTACCTTTCCTCTAATCTGCTCTTCTCGTTGCAGCTCCTTTTTGTTCTTTGATGTCTAATCGCAGAGACACAGTAGATACTTTAAACAACGAACCATGCCAAGTCAACTGCTTAATTTTCTCGATCTCATTTGTTTATCAAGAGGGTCGATATTACTTTCGTCAAGAGCTCACATCCTTAAGACAGCTATAGATCTGGCCCAGACTGGCACTTACAGTATCAAAGTGTATGTTTGGCATTTCTCTGGTCAAAAATTTGGGATTAAATTCCACTATTGAATAATACATCATTCAAAAAAGCACACATTTTCCCTAGAGCAGACTTTCCAGCTCACCGTGACGTGCTTGGAGGCTCGGTATTGGGGGCGTTTGTTTCCTCTGTTAGGCTGTACTTCTTGACTACACCATAGACCAAAAGTAGAAGAGTACTCTCAATATCGATAACGTTATCTTAACCTAACATCTAGCCTTACCAATTGCTTTGCGACCAAACACTGTATGTACTAAGCAATCGAAGAAAACTAGTTCACTCACTGATTGTGCTCGGCTTATTCCACTGGTTTCTTTATCCTAAGCCATCATGTCTCGTATCTGTCTTTTTATCATGTCATGATCAATATTCTGCGACTAGAAGATTAATCGATTAGAGTATTTATAACGCAAATTGAGAGACAAGTTTTCAGAAAACTGTTCCCCCAATGTACATGGATGACATCACCCTCGCCATCGAGGCTAAGTGTGTGGAGAATGAAAAGAAACGAAAATTGAAAGAAGAAAAAATGCACTTTAAGAGCTTTTCTTCTTTTTTTCTAATTAATTCAAATACTATCTCTCGGTGATTACATCGTTAATTAACGCCTCTTTCTCTCGTGGAAAATATCCTCGATCTTGGAAATTAGCTGTCGTGTCGCCTATTCCGAAAGAAGGTAATCACGAAGAACCTAACAATAATAGGCCTATCTCTCTGCTGCCCGTTCTTTCGAAAGTATGCGAAAAGGCTGTGCTTCATCAAATTATGCCGTTCCTAGTGTCAAACGAAAGGTTAGCTACTCGGCAAAGTGGTAATAAGAAACTGCACTCTACGGAAACCTCCTTAATACGAACAACTGATGCTATCTTAAGTGCGATTGACGAGAAGAAAATTACCGCTGTTGTCTAACTTGATATGAGCAAGGCTTTCGACACGATAAATCATGGAGTCTTGCTCAACAAACTGCTGGATATTGGAATCTCGCCATCCAGTGTTGCATGGTTCACCAGCTATCTCTTACAGACGACAAATAATGCGCATAAATTCTGCGTTGTCTGATCCTCTACCCGTCGTATCATGCGTGCCACAAGGAAGCGTTCTCGGACCCATTTTGTTTAATATTTATGTAAACTAGTTACCCCTCGCCCCCGGTTCTGTCTTACTGAAAGTTACGTCGATGACACACAACTTTACATTTCTTTCCCAGTCCAAGACTGGGCTAAGGCTGTTGCTGATCTTAACGCTGATCTTCTACAGATTCGAAACTGGTGCTTCGCAAATCGTCTTCTCGTGAATCCTGATAAAACTAAGCTTATTATTTATGGAAGTCGACAAAATTTAAGTAATATAAGTAATATAATAATTTAAGTAAAATATAAGTAATAATTATAATAATAAGTAATATATAATTTAAGTAATATAAGCCGGTTATTCGTCTCTCCCTCTTAGGAAAGGAACTAATACCANGGCTCCGCTCCTACTTATCTCTCCTCGAAGTTTCTAACACGTGGTGAGATAAGTGGTCGCACGACCAGAAGCTCTCAACTTCTGCATATACCCTTATATAGAACTAGATCTGGACAAAAGACTTTCTTTTATCGTACGTACAGTAAGTCTATGGAACATTTTAGATAATACCCTCAAACTCTGTAATTCTTCTCGTGATTTTAAGGGTAAACTTAGAGCCAAATTACTTGCTGCTTTACGTTCTCATCGCTCTTCGTTGTAACTTTGGCGAACACTTACAAACATTTTAGCTTCCTTAATTTTTCTATTATACTTTTTAGTATTGTAATTTTGTAATTTTTAGATCATTGTCACCGAAAAACCCTCTTTAGGGAGTGTCAATAAAGTTTGTATTGTATTGAACTATCTGAAAAACAAACACTATGTAACTCGAATATAACTTATGAAGCCATCCTAAGCTTCAAACTCAAAACAAACAAATCTCTTAAGGAATAGGCAACCACGGTCAATCGAATTTATTTTTTTTTCGTACGATTCAGAATTCGCTATCTCTGGTTATTCTCGACGCTCAAGGGGAAGTTATCCCTATCACTTTTTTTTTGATAAAACTTAAGACAAAATGGTTAATTAATCGACAGAATACTAAAAATTTAATCAATTCTATGCTTGAGAAATCTTAAGCTTTTCTCTCCCTACTTTTTTTCCCTACAGACTTATCTTAAAGCTTTAAGTTTCTTTAAAAGTTTGTGTAACACTCCGGGTTGTTTCCTCAGTAAAAGTTTGCGTAACAAAAGCATTCCATGTGGAGATTGTCGAATGAAACTACCCATCGAATCTACTCATTAGTTTTTTGTCAGAGAAAAGACAAGGAAGAAAAGAAAGAAAAAAGTAGTGGAAGGATGTTAGTTTTTGCCTGCTTACCTATTTCAAAAAGGACTAAAAGAAGGACCGCGAATGACATTTTGATTTCCACCTTCATGCTGGTGAGCTGAGTATTACGTTATTATCGTTCCTGAGTATTACGTGTTAGAGTTTAGGTGAAATATTTATACCAGGTGTAATTACAATTTTTTATTAATTTTCAAATATAACATAGCTTGTAAATTCGAGGAATCAAATTCAATTACGCGAGCGTGCTTCAATTTCCCATTGTGCACGCTGGTGACGTCAACAAACAAATGCCTCGCAAAAAGATTTTTTTCTCGCGAATCAACTTCAGCATTTTTCATTGAAAAACGGGGAAAACTTCCGCAAAAAAATTAAACTAGACATGGCAACAGGCGGAAAAGCCGATGAAGATCTGCCTACTTTTTCTTTGGGAGTGAATTTTTTAACTCCCGAGAAAGAACCGATAGAAAGGGAAAACAAAATAATCAACGCTGGTTTCATCTCGTTTCGCAACTCTAAGTTCATTTCCACGCATGAATTCACCCGTCAGTTTTGACCAATCTGGGGCGAGATCTGAAACAAAATAAACAACGCATTGAAGCGTAGGAGATGGAATTTCTGCCTTGTATATATAAACTACAGCGTTGAAAATATTATAAAACAATTGGTTCATGTGTCAGCTGTACGTTCATCGAGACTTGAAGCACTTGGGAAGTTTGGAGAGCACTCAAGAAGCTACAGATGCTCTCTGCTGCGCCTCGAGTAACTCTTACGCATCTTTCGTGCTCTCCAAACTTTCCGCGTGCTTCAATTCTCTATGAACGCACGCTGACGCATAAACCAGTTGTTAAATCGAATTCGATGTCATTTTGTTCTTAATTTAAACCTATCAAGACAAGAATTTTTAGGGAAATCACCCTAATGTGATCATTTCCATATTACCTGCAAGTTGACTCACTCTCAAAAAAAGAACGGCCTTGTTTTTGTTTATTGTTTCTTTGAAGAACATTGACAATGATGGTAAGATTTTTGCCTCCTTTTCGTTTAAATCTCAAGCTCTCTCATGGGGAAGACGTTTACTTTCTTTCAATCACTTCAATTGTAACGTGTAAATTTTCGGAAATTTCAGTCACGGAAGGTTGTCGCTGTGCTAATTAGAATAATTCAGAGATAACATGTGACTCCCCGGGTTTCTTAGTGTTGTTTAAAGTAAAAGGCGAACACAAATGTATATTTGGACTTCGAAATAAACATTGTATTAGCACACACCAATGTTTTTCAACGAAACCGACCCTTACTTTGCTGCGATACATTGTGTTTTGTTTTTTTACCTGAGAAGCAGCTGGGTAAACGACACATCACGCAGGGTACGATAGATTACAGAGTATGACTCAATTGGGTGTGGACTGTCGTCTTATTGGTGAACCTGGAAATTTTAGGAAGACCGTAACTTTGGTCTTAGATATAGAAAGTAAAGTTGTGAGAAGAAATGAGTAAATTATATTTGTCTCTAGGAAGTTAGAAGGTGCGCAGGAGATTCCTTTTATCTTTCCTATGTGATGCTATGAAGGGATAAATTGTTCTAAATGGAGATTGCACAGGTGACTGCTACTACTTACGTGGATTTTTGCGGACAGAAAAACATTTAGCGTACGCTGTGGTGAGAGAAAACAGTTCATGGTGTTTGACTTAAATAACGTCTAAACTGCATGTAGAACACTTTGCTTTACTATTTGTTGGTTCCGTTTTTGGAAGTAGTTTTAAGTCCAAAATTTTCTATAGTCTATCGTGCGACGCAATGAGTGCGACGGCTGAATTGAGAAACCAACGCGCGAGTGAACTTGAGGGAACTTGCAAAGTAGCTAGGCTGGGGTGGACCTTGATATGGGGCGAAATCTTCAGATACCAACCACTAGTGGCTAAAACACTTCACGGTTATAAATATCAACACTAATGGCTCCAGATCTTGACAGATGCATACCAATGATGAGCGTTATTTCAAGTTGATTTTTATTCCGTTTGTTAGTACGACTTCTCTCTCACACATTTATCGTCTAAATTAAAATCAGATAAACTTGTGCAGTATAGATAAAACGGTAATCTTTCGTCTACTGGACATTTGTTGGATAGGCGGTGACGACCCTCATATTCTGTGTGTCTTCGACGGTCCTAAATTCTACCTGGCTCGGCGGTAACCCTGCGGCCTGCACGTATGGAACCGCAGTCTGGATGTTGCACCTACAGTCTGTTCTTCGTCGGTTTCCCTGTACAACTCCTCCCCCTTGACGTCCCATTAAAACACAAGTAGTAAACATAGCCAAATCAAAATCTGGGCTAGTTCCAACGAACATGCTGCTGCTGCTGCCCGCTGGTACTTTGGTAACCCCTCTCCATGTGAATGAGAGGTCACGCAAAAAGTATGGCTGTAGATTAAAAGGTAAAGGATAAACTAAGTGTTTCTCTCTTTATACTTTGAAATGTAGGCCATTGGATATCAAGGCCACACAAATATTCATGGCGTTAATGAGGATCACACCGGTGTAATGCACAATCATCTGAGGTAAACAGTCAAGCGTTTATGAATTCCATTCCTCCGTGACATAACATGAACAACTGACTTTAAATTGTACGTCTTTTACAATCACTGACCCCATTACTGTATCCTTTCACTAAATTTTTTAAAGAAAGATCTGGCTAGGATGCTACTACTTACTCCCTGGCTTTCACGGGAGACACCGTGGTGTCCTTTTTAAACATTCCTGAGAAAGATTGGTAGGTTCGTGCTAAAGGTCAAGTTGGCCCAGACTATTACGAGAAACAATTTCCTGCCAGTGCCTCCTTCTCTCTACCCTTTGTTAGCTGCTCGTCAAGAGACATGTAGAGAAGCATTCTTGCAGGAATAGTTTCCTCTGAAATTTTTACAGAACGCCTTTTTCAGCGAGAGGAATTGACGCAACAATCACGGCATTTAAGCAGAATAGTGTGACTGGCAATTTAGCCATTCCGCACGCTATCACCCCTCTGTGTCTTCTTCTAACGCCCCTATGTATGTATGAATATTGTAATTTACGAACACAAATTGATTTCAAAATTTGCTTGTCAGATAACCGAGCACATTGTTAGCTGAGCCTTTGGGCCTCACAGGTAGAGTTTTTGGCTCTAAATGAAATAACTGACCAGTCTGTTTTCAACGAAACCCGGCAGTTGTGGAGGCTGTTTAAAACAGATGTTCGTCGTCTGTGGTGGGTTTCTTTGCTGTTCAAGGAGGAACTGGTACCAGTTGTGAAATCCAGTATAATCGTGGGCGTTTTTTTCACCTGAGTGTGAAAAAATGTGAAAACGGAATTAATGAGTATGGATGTACGAGCCAAACTTTGTATCATATTTATCATATCCATCGAGGAATAAACGAGTTTTTCGGGTAGCTTAGTGCTTTAGGGACTACTTAAGACCCATTCATCTTCTCCATTCATCTTCTTAGTGCTTTAGGGACTACTTAAGACCCATTCATCTTCTCCGGTGGAGATTGAGCCGATCTGCAACTTCAGACAATTTATATTTATATATTTTATTTGCCACACTTACCAACAAAAACGTTTTTGAAGCCATCACTGTTTCGAAACCATAGTTCTTCCAAGACGCATCTGAACTGTTCTAGGGTTGTCTGAAAGGGAGATTCATGTCAATAAAGGGTATGAACGAACAAGGCAACTGATTTTAAAACGAGTGATACGAAAAGAGATGGAAGTGACATTAAAATATGCTTAAGTCCCTATGTCACTTTTTTTATTTTATATCAAAATATGACTCTAGAACATGTTTTAGCAACATTGGCGGTATTTTACCGTTTTCTGAATTTTGGACTATCAAGCTCTACAATCCATAGATAAAACGTTTGGCCGGGCAAAGAGGGGACTGGGTGCCTTACGTCACAGTAGTAAGCATGTGTTCTTATCAGTGCAAACGAGTGGGCTTTGTAATCAATAATTTCCCTGGCTATTTCAGTGACAGTTTTGTGTCATTATGTCCGATATTTCCTGTCCTGTTGCTATGACGAAAGTTTCTTCTCCGATGACTTTAATTATATTCCGGAAACGCGGCGACTGAATCCGAATTTGCAACTCAAAGCGGTGAAATGGAGGACAGGGAGGAAAACATATAAGGGCCAAATTCAAACGAACCATTAGCGTATTGAAAAAAACAGAAAAGGGACAGAATGTTAACAAGTCGTTTGAAAGGTCTCGAATCTACGGAAAAGTGGTACGTTACATAAATTTTTGCAGACTTTAGTGACCGCAAGTTCAAGCTGGACATCGTCGTCTTCTCAAGCCGGGTTCTCGAATCCATAGGCGTACGGGCAATTTTTTTCCAGGGGGGGCGGTGAACCATTTGCCCAAAAAATTCTCGCAAGTTGCCCAAATTTTTACGAAACAGTCGTCAT